TAACATCCACTCTTCCACCAAAGTAAGCATCCACTTTTCCACCCACATACACCAGTTAGCATACACCCTTCCACCCACATACACCAGTTAGCATACACCCTTCCACCCACATACACCAGTTAGCATACACCCTTCCACCCACATACACCAGTTAGCATCCACCCTTCCACCCACATACACCAGTTAGCATCCACCCTTCCACCCACATACACCAGTTAGCATCCACCCTTCCACCCACATACACCAGTTAGCATACACCCTTCCACCCACATACACCAGTTAGCATACACCCTTCCACTCACATACACCAGTTAGCATCCACCCTTCCACCCACATACACCAGTTAGCATACACCCTTCCACCCACATACACCAGTTAGCATACACCCTTCCACTCACATACACCAGTTAGCATCCACCCTTCCACCCACATACACCAGTTAGCATCCACCCTTCCACCCACATACACCAGTTAGCATACACCCTTCCACCCACATACACCAGTTAGCATACACCCTTCCACTCACATACACCAAAGTAAGCATCCACTCTTCCACCCACATACACCAAAGTAAGCATCCACCCTTCCACCCACATACACCAAAGTCAACATTCACTCTTCCATCCACATACACCAAAGTTAACATCCACTCTTCCACCCACATACACCAAAGTTAACATCCACTCTTCCACCCACATACACCAAAGTTAGTATCCACTCTTCCACCAAAGTTAACATCCACCCTTCCACCCACATACACCAAAGTCAACATTCACTCTTCCACGAACATACACCAGTCAACATCCACTCTTCCACCCACATACACCAAAGTTAACATCCACTCTTCCACCCACATACACCAAAGTTAACATCCACTCTTCCACCCACATACACCAAAGTTAGTATCCACCCTTCCACCCACATACACCAAAGTCAACATTCACTCTTCCACGAACATACACCAGTCAACATCCACTCTTCCACCCACATACACCAAAGTAAACATCCACTCTTCCACCCACATACACCAAAGTCAACATCCACTCTTCCACCAACATACCAGATAGCATCCACTGTTCCACCCACTAACACCAGTGTCTTATAGATATCGCCATATTGAATGTTCTATTTAAACTTCTAGAAAGGAGAGGTTGAGTGTGACATATTAAACTGAAATGCAAGGTTTCAACGAATCAATTTGATCGCCTGTATTGAAGCAGACGAACGTAGCATCTTACGTAACCCTGGAGACGAAACAACGCTATAAATAAAGCGGAGAGGGGAGATAATGCTAAATCTCTAGTTACATATTCAAAATTGGAAGAAAAAAAATAGAAATTCAATATTTTAAACAAATGTGAATAATAAATTGTAAAACGGGTAAAGATAAAATAAAGCAAGCTTGAAGTAATTTTTTACATTTCAGTTATGTCACAAATGACCCGGCTAAGCAATAGAAAACTAAAATTAGATTTGATGTTAGCGTGTTATCTATTGTCCAGATTGATAATTTCTCTTACATTTGTATAAAATCAAACAAATGTATTTTTTTTCTGAATGCAATTATTTCAAACAAAACCTTTGTCAATAGAGTTTCTGAGAGAGAAAATAAATTGGGGTCAGTTCAAACATTTTTTTTATATTTTTTTTTGTTTAAAATTTTACAGAAAGTGTTTGCACAGTGTCTATGTTGCTTGATGATGCTTATGAAGAAAATATATGTTAACATATTAAAACCTGACATTTTAGTTCACAACACCCCCTCCCCCTCACAAACACACACCCCAAAAAAATAAACAGCGACCCCAAGTTGGAGAATATCTCCAAGGCCAAACGCTTATTTCTATCCCTTATCTTTCAAAATTGATTTTACCGGCCTGTGTTTCAAATTTTAGGGGGGACGAAAAAAAATCCTTTAAAGGTTTGCCTTTAATTCACCTCTCTCGCGGGGCATAACTGGCGTCAAAATTCAATTCACACAACTCATTACGTGATAATGCATGGTGGGATTGTATTAATTCACGCATTTTCCGCTGGCGTTGTAGGACGGGGCGTGAATTAACAACCATTTCCGTGGTGTGCGGAAATTTGTGAGAGTAGGGGACGGTTCGGTGTGGATCTGGTAGGCTTTTAGTCGGCAGGGTGTTTGGGTAATTTGGTTGATGGGGGGAGGGGGAGGAGATTTTGAAACTAGGTGATGGTAAGGTCACCGCTGATGTTGGTCGGGTAATGGGTGGGTCTGCCAGTGTATCGGTCTGTAAATGTGTGGGTCTGTCAGTGTGTGGGTCTGTCAGTGTGTGGGTCTGTCAATGTGTGGGTCTGTCAATGTGTGGGTCTGTCTATGTGTGGGTCTGTCTATGTGTGGGTCTGTCAGTGTGTGGGTCTGTCCATGTGTGGGTCTGCCAGTGTGTGGGTCTGTCAATGTTTATCTGTCAGTGTGTGGCCTATCTACGTGTTGGTAGTCAAAATATTCATCATCATCATCATCTTTTTCATTGATGCCCAAGACACATGGAGCAGATGAAATCGAGTTCATCTGACCTCTACATACAGGCCAGTACAACGGGTAGTGTGGTCAACACCACGCCCAACCGCGTGAGTTTCCCCAACATGAGTCAAAATATGACTCACTCCTACTCTATTACGTCATATGTTGTGTATGCTTCAAACTGAATGTGACAAAACTTAGCAGTATGTCGTCACCAATGTCAACGAGTCATTGACGTCTGTGAATCTATCAATATTGGACCCCCCCATTCTTCTACTTTCACCTCCAGTTCCACTACCCCCCTTCCCCCCTCCCCCACCCCCCACCCCACCCCCCAGCCACCTAATCCACCATAGATGCTTAAATTACATCTCCGAGTGGCGCCATCTTCAGCATGTCTTTACATCCAATCAGCTGATTGGATTGGCAGCATGGGTTTACCAGCGCGTGACGTGACGTCACACAGACAAGATAAACCAATGATCGATGCGCGTTTCATCCTTCTTTTTTAACGCTTAATGGCTTCATACACTTGGAGAAACGAGAATTAGAAACTCATTTCCGGTTAGTTGTGTTTTACTTCAGCTTTTTTGTCTAGAGAAAATTAATCGATTCAAAAATTTATAAATGCGCTATTAATGGGAGAATTTTAGTAGTTAATCGCTGATGACATTAAGAAATTTCTCAGAAATGCTCATAAAAATGAATATATATATATATATATATATATATATATATATATATATATATATATATATATATATATATATATATATATATATATATATATATACATGTATATATATATATATATATGTATGTATATATATATATATATATGTGTGTGTGTGAGTGTGTGTGTGTGTGTGTGGGTAATTTCTTTCCACTCTGCATGTTGGGTGAGCCGTCTACCACAGCCTTGAAAAACCTAGGTTTCTCACATTGTTTCATTCTGTTTAAAGCTCTACCACTTTACCCTTACTTACTAAATATCCTTAGAAATACCACCTATTAGTCCCAATTCCTCATCCTTTGAAATACCATCTTACAGAATTGTTTGATTTTTCGGAGTCCGATCTTAGGACTTTGGACCTCTTCCGCCCGACCACGCCGTCTCCCATATACCACTTAAGAAATCTTAATTCCTTACCCTTTGACCTACCATCCAAACCATCCCAAACCCTTAACCCATGACTGACCAGCCAAAAAGTCCCGCTTCTACGACTTTTAATCGACAACCTAAAAATCACATTCCCTTATCCTTTGATAAAGCCTATCATCCAACTAATGACCATCCCGATCCCTTAACCCTTGACCCATCAACAAACCGCCCCCCCCCCCCCCCACCCTCATCCCTTGACCTTTGTTCTACCACCTACAGCTAATGAAATCACACACGTTTTTTTTTTTTTTCGTTCCACGGAATGGAATTACCCGCCGTCTATTTTTACATTAACTTGTCCACACCTATGTTTGGCTTCTCCCAGTCCTATCTGGCAAGTCAACTACTGGCTCCTGGCTACAAGTCCCAATTTTTCTGCTCGAAAGACCCGACAAATTGTCGTTTCATCTCGCGAGATGTCGTCTGATATTGTTATTTCGCCTCGTTTGTTCCCGTCTGTTGGTCGGACGGAGGACGTGACGTCATGATTCCGAAATTGTTTTTTTTTTTTTTTAAATCAAAAGAGAAAATGAAGTTAGATCAAATGTGGCTGAGATCAGTTGTACTAAAATGGGATCAGTGGACAATTGATCGTTTTTTTTAATGGTAGCTCTTAAACCTCCTCTAACATTTCTTTTTAAATACAAAAAGAATTTAATTTATACAATGAGTTAATGATATTCTATTGATTTTATATGGTTTTCCGAAAGGAACTAAATTTTGACAACTGAAGTGTAAAATATTTTTCTGAATTAATGGTATTTTAATCTGCATAATTTATAACTTGCATTAGTAAATCTGCCCTATATATCTCTAGATTTATGGTGGTTTTAATTAGCTTTATTTATATCTCCATATTTTTTATGGTGTTAATCTGACCTATTTAATTCCAGAGTTTCTTCCAGGCATCTCTTCGGGGGGGGGGGGGGAGGGGTGCTCCGCTCTCTCAAAGAAAGTCTACCCCCCCCCACCCGAACACAATGGAATTTATATAGAAATTGTTGTCCGCCCCCCCCCCCCCCACCACCCCGAAAATATCAAGTGACCCCCCTTCGCCGGAGAAAAAAGTCTGCAAGAAACACTGTTTATTTTTCCAGATTTATAATGGTTTTTAATCTGCATTATTTATATCACTTATTTTTAATCTGCCCTATATATATATGATGGTTTTAATATGTTTTATTTATATATCCAGATTTATTATGGTGTTAATCTGACCTGATTATTTATCCAGATATATAATGGTATTAACCTGCCTTATTTATATATCTAGATTTATAATGGTGTTAATCTGCATTATTTATATATCCAGATTTATAATGTGTTAATCTGCCCCATTTATATCCCCAGATTTATGATGGTGTTAATCTGCCTTATCTTCAGTGTCCTCTCAACGATAGAACAGTACACAGAATTCGCCATTGGGACATTAATGTATATGGTAAGTTGGGGATTATATATGGTATATAACATAATGTATATGGTAGGTTGGGGACTGTACTTCGTATATAACATAATGTAAGGTAGGTTTGCTATTATACTGGATATATTACATTGCACAACAATGGGATAGTTTTACCCACGCCTTACCCCGTTAATGTTTTATAACATTTTCAGGGATTGCTTGAGACCCCCCTCCCCGCCCACATTTGATATACCTATCTGCCTCAACAAACCTCCCACAAACACAAACTTTAAACCTTCCTTGTAATATAATATGCAGCATCCTTTACGTTTAACTTTTATTTATCGAGGCTAAAATACAATTTTCTTTTAAAAAAATTAAAATAAAAAATGTGTAACAGAAGAATCTTGTAAACTTTAACCACCACATTATATTCTAATTGAATATTCGCACGGAATATTCGAGATTCCGTTCTTGTTGTTTTGTTGGTTTTTTTTTTTTTTTTTTTTTTTTTTTTTTTTTTTTTTTGTTTAACATTTTAATGAAAATGGTCTTTTGTTTTTTTTAAGTCGACCTTAACCTAAACTGTTGACCAAAGTTAATTATTTCAGTGGTATTCCTTTCAGTGCTTGTCTCAGTTATTTTTTGTTTAGTTGTAAAATAGGTTATCAGTCTACGTTATGTCTAGTTTGTCTGTCTACTTTGTGTCTAGCTTGTCAGTCTACTTGAGTATATGGCTAGTCAGTAGTCGCTTGTCAGTCTACTTTAGTGTCTAGCTTGTCAGTCTACTTGAGTATATGGCTAGTCAGTCTACTTTAATATATGGCTAGTCAGTCTACGTTAGTATATGGCTTGTCAGTAGTCGCAATTGTGTCTTGCTTGTCAGTCTACGTTAGTATCAGTTTTGTCAGTCTACGTTAGTATAAGTCTTGTCAGTACCCTACTTTGTATCTAGCTTGTCAGTCGACGTTAGTATCTGGTTTGTGCCTAGATAGTCTTATCAACATGTCTTTGTTAGTATTACTGTTAGTGTGGTCAGTATGTCTCTTCTAATTTGATCATTATGTTAGTGTGGTCAGTATGTCTCTTCTAATTTGATCATTGTCGGTGTCTGATAGCCTGTTAGTGTAGTCGATGTCTGATAGCGTGTTAGCGTGTTTGTGTCTGTGTGTTAGTGTGTTAGTGTCTGTGTGTTAGTGTGTTAGTGTCTGTGTGTTAGTGTGTGATCTCATTACCCAGTCTAACACGTACAATAATGCTAACCCTAACCTCCCCCCCCCCCATACCCCTTGCTCCCCAGGAAATATTTTTGGTGTGTTTCTTTGGAATGGAGTACGTCATCCGTCTCTGGTCAGCTGGCTGTCGCAGCAAGTACATGGGCTTGAGGGGAAGGCTGCGGTTTGCTAGGAAACCTATCTCTATTATAGGTAAACTTTTGTGTCTATAGACACAACTTTATTATAAGTAATGTTTTGTGACTATAGACACAACTTTATGGTTTGCTAGGAAACCTATCTCTATTATAGGTAAACTTTTGTGTCTATAGACACAACTTTATTATAAGTAATGTTTTGTGACTATAGACACAACTTTATGGTTTGCTAGGAAACCTATCTCTATTATAGGTAAACTTTTGTGTCTATAGACACAACTTTATTATAAGTAATGTTTTGTGACTATAGACACAACTTTATGGTTTGCTAGGAAACCTGTCTCTATTATAGGTAAACTTTTGTGTCTATAGACACAACTTTATTATAAGTAATGTTTTGTGACTATAGACACAACTTTATGGTTTGCTAGGAAACCTATCTCTATTATAGGTAAACTTTTGTGTCTATAGACACAACTTTATTATAAGTAATGTTTTGTGACTATAGACACAACTTTATGGTTTGCTAGGAAACCTGTCTCTATTATAGGTAACCTATTGTGTCTATAGACACAATATTATTTTAGGTAATGTTTTGTGTCTATAGACACAATTTTATTGTAGGTAACCTTTTGTGTCTATAGACACAACTTTATTATAGGTAACGTTTTGTGTCTATAGACACAACTTTATTATAGGTAACTTTTTGTGTCTATAGACACAACTTTATTGTAGGTAATGTTTTGTATCTATAGACACAACTTGATGGTTGATTAATATTTTATATCCGTACATCATGATGGTGTTTATTTCTCTACAATTTGATACTCCTAAACACACGCTTAGCCAGGTATCTACAGAACTGGTCACGAAAAGCGTGTGGGTGATGATGAAGTAGAGTTGACCTGTCGCCACATACATTTGTCAGATGTTAGTGCCGCTAAAGCACGGATCCTAGGCTAGTGGTTGTGCTCATACAAGCTGATAACCGAACTCTCCAACCAACTAGCAACACTTACATGCTCTGCGTTTGCCCAGCAACGTCCTACAGAATCCAGCCAGGGATCCGAACTCGAGACTTTCAGCCTGGTACCAGCGCGTTCTACCCCCCACCAGCATCACTCCATATTATTATACGCCCAGCAGATAAGATAAGAATTACTTCCCCTCCCCTGCATTACGTCCCTTGTTTCTCTCTCTCTCTCTCCCCAGATTTGTTCGTTGTTGTTGCTTCCATTTGCGTTTTCAGCACGGGTCTGGAGGGCCAGGTGTTCGCTGCCTCTGCCATAAGGTACGTAACTCTGCCATAAGGTACGTAACTCTGCCATAAGGTACGTAACTCTGCCATAAGGTACGTAACTCTGCCATAAGGTACGTAACTCTGCCATAAGGTACGTAACTCGGCCATAAGGTACGTAACTCTGCCATAAGGTACGTAACTCGGCCATAAGGTACGTAACTCTGCCATAAGGTACGTAACTCTGCCATAAGGTACGTAACTCTGCCATAAGGTACGTAACTCTGCCATAAGGTACGTAACTCTGCCATAAGGTACGTAACTCTGCCATAAGGTGCGTAACTCTGCCATAAGGTACGTAACTCTGCCATAAGGTACGTAACTCTGCCATAAGGTACGTAACTCTGCCATAAGGTACGTAACTCTGCCATAAGGTACGTAACTCTGCCATAAGGTACGTAACTCGGCCATAAGGTACGTAACTCTGCCATAAGGTACGTAACCCCGGCATAAGGTACGTAACTTTGCCATAAGGTACGTAATTCGGCCATAAGGTACGTAACTCGGCCATAAGGTACGTAACCCTGCCATAAGGTACGTAACTCTGCCATAAGGTACGTAACTCTGCCAAGGTACGTAACTCTGCCATAAGGTACGTAACTCTGCCATAAGGTACGTAACTCTACCATAAGGTACGTAACTCTGCCATAAGGTACGTAACTCTGCCATAAGGTACGTAACTCTGCCATAAGGTACGTAACTCTGCCATAAGGTACGTAACTCCGGCATGACTTGAGAGATGATGTAAGTCAACTCCAGGATGATTTTTTAAAAAAAAACTTAGAAGTCAGCTGTAAGATAACTTTATAGGGGGGGGGGATTTTTCTTAGCAAAATCCGTGTTGTTAAAAGTTTTGTAACTAAACTTTATAAGCAAACGAGACATAAAACTGTACTGTTAAAGGCTTTAAGACTATGCTAAAATGTGTCTCGGTATGTTTAATCTATGTCGATATATATGTTGATCTATGTGTTGTTGTGTCTATATGTTACTTTATCATATTATCGATATATTAGCCAGTCAGGGACGGTGTTTGCTGTACTGTCGATATTTTACAGAGTGTGTCTATCAATCAATACACGTGTTTACAGCGAGAATGTAGAGAACACATTTTAAAATACTCTCCAACACATTTCCTCCATTTCTATTGAAAGAAAATACATTCCATAGCCTTTATCCAAACAAGAACAAACTAAAAGGCAGTTCTTGTTAGATTTTGGAGTTTTATCTCCTAGAAGAGTTGCTGTCCCCAGCTATCGAGCCTCATCTGCCCGGGGGTTCGAACTCGAGACTATTTAGCTTTACCAATTCAAATCACAGGTTATTACTGAACATTGACGATTGGGACAATGACAAATATGGCGACAAAAATTAATCCGAGACTTTAACCAGTCACTAACAAATTGATGAGCTTACTCGAGTGCTACATAGATCACACAGATCACACATTAAAGACTCATGGGCTTACTCGAGTGCTACACAGATCACACTAAAGACTCATGCACTTATTCGAGTGCTACATAGATCACACACTAAAGACTCATGTGCTTATTCGAGTGCTACATAGACCCCACACTAAAGACTCATGGGCTTATTTGAGTGCTACACAGATCACACACTAAAGACACAATGACCTACAGCAACTGAACAAAGCTTCAGTCTACTCTTTACACATGGGAGCATGCGCAATAGGTCAAAAGGTTACATCACAGTGTTAAAGAAATCTATGAGAAAGTTTTGTAAGCTTAATTAAGCCCCGTTAAAGTATATTCTACGGTCGCTCATTTATACGAGGAACATGTCTAGTGGGTAACTGAGAAGTAATGGGTACCTAAGGTCTAAATGGTACCTTAGATCTAGCGGGTACCTTAGGTCTAGTGGTTACCTTAGGTCTAGTGGGTACCTTAGGTCTAGTGTGTACCTTAGTTCTAGTGGGTACCTTAGGTCTAGTGGGTACCTTAGGTCTAGTGTGTACCTTAGTTCTAGTGGGTACCTTAGGTCTAGTGGGTACCTAAGGTCTAAATGGTACCTTAGATCTAGCGGGTACCTTAGGTCTAGTGGTTACCTTAGGTCTAGTGGGTACCTTAGGTCTAGTGTGTACCTTAGTTCTAGTGGGTACCTTAGGTCTAGCGGGTACCTTAGGTCTAGTGGGTACCTTAGGTCTAGCGGGTACCTTTGTTCTAGTGGGTACCTTAGGTCTAGTGGGTACCTTAGGTCTAGTGGGTACCTTAGGTCTAGTGGTTACCTTAGGTCTAGTGGGTACCTTAGGTCTACTGGGTACCTTATGTAGCGGGTACCTTGGGTCTAATGGGTACCTTGGTTCTACTGGAAACTTGTTTTGACGTAAGAAAGCCCGAGTAATTTTCGATAATATTTAACGCCTAGGGTTGTGGGGCTGGGGTGGTGTGACATCGTTCAAGGCCTGGACACATTATTAGATAATTATCGGATAATTAATTAGTTCATTACCAAAAACATGACTCATATAATCACTTAATAACATTCCTTATTGTTTTATTAATCCTGATTAGCTTTATATTACTTCAAAATAAATTAGTGTTTTTATCAGTTGCTTGTGATTTTGTAAATTAAATTGAGTTGAGATGTTCAGGAGTTAGGGCGTTTGAGAGTTAGGGGGGTTCGGGAGTTAGGGGGTTCGAGAGTTAGGGGGTTAGTGGTTCGGGAGTTAGGGAGTTAGGGCGTTGTGGATTTAGGGCGTTTGACAGTTTAGGTGTTCAGGAGTTAGGGGGTTCGAGAGTTAGGGGGTTCGGGAGATACGGGGTTTGGGAGTTAGGGCGTTTGAGAGTTAGGGGGTTCGAGATTTAGGGGGTTCTGGAATTAGAGGGTGCGGGAGTTAGGGGTTTGGGAGGTAAGAGGCTCGTCGCTCAAGTGAGGATAGACTGCTCACCTTAATGCAAACAGGAGCGCACAATGTCTAGAGTGGTAAAGGGGGGGGGGGAAGAGACCGGGGATCTTAAGTGTTTGGGAAAACTATGGGTTTCAAGTATTTGGGGGGGGGGGGAACCACCCTGGGTATTTGGGGGGGGGGAACCACCCTGGGTATTTGGGGGGGGGGGAACCACCCTGGGTATTTGGGGGGGGGGGGGAACCACCCTGGGTATTTGGGGGGGGGGGAACCACCCTGGGTAAGTATGTGAGGGTGGGGGAGGGTGGTGTGACAACGGCCGCGGGTTTAGTCTAGGCTGGTTGGTGTGAGACCGTGTCAGATTATAAATTGAATATAAAGTGAATTGTATCGCTTCATTGTTCGCTTCCGTTGCGTTATACATGGTGTGGTATGTCTTCATTGGTTATGCTATATACAGTGTATGTTATACTGGCCATTCTATACACTGCGTGTGTTTTAATTGGCCATGCTGTACATAGTGTAGCATATGACTTCATTGGCCAAGCTATACACAGCGTATGTTTCACTGGCCATACTATACATAGTGTATGCTTTAACTGGCCATGCTATACACAGTGTATGTTTTACTTGTCATGCTATACATAGTGCGTGTTTTACTGGCAATACTATAAATACTTTATGTTAAGTCTTAACTGGCCGTGTTTTAAGAAACTTGGACATGTTTAAATTATGCCAAGTCCAGGAGATTAGCTGACACGCTGCGACAAGTTTATTACGACAGACAAAGCCTCGAAAGGAGATGGAAGGAATTATGTAACACATTTGTTTAAGTAGCTATCACATGTGTAACACATTTGTTCAAGTAGCTATCACATGTGTAACACATTTGTTCAAGTAGCTATCACATTTGTAACACAATTATTTAAATAGCTATCACACCTGTATTGCATTTGTTCAAGTAGCTATAACATCTGTAACAAATCCAGTAATGTTCACGACAATATTTCAATGATCTAAGTAATGACCACGAGATAAGCAAATAGTTTAAGTAACTTTCCCATCAGTAACACAGTAGTTAAGCAGCTTTCACACGCCATACCCTGTACCAGGCCCTACCTACATACATGTCACTTTACTTACTGTTCTACCGACTCATTTTACAACGTAACTCCCTCAAAAACCTAAAACCCATTTGAAAAAGCGTACATAGTTTGTGAACATTATGGCTGCGGAATTTAGTTATCAATTTAATTACGATGCTGTCACCCCTAGAAGTAATCTAATTCGATCCATTTTTAACTCTGTTGCTAACAAATTGGAGTGAAATTTAGGATGTTTGAGCTAATTAAATTTACGACATTCTTTTTGAAAAATGTCACAATGACAAAAGGGGAGAGGGGGGAAGGAATTAGGAAGGGAAGCTACTCTAATCAGACACTACAAAATTTGGGTTAACTGTTCTTTATGTCGTGGGCCAAACTTGGAGGAATCTCCCTAAACCGAGTAGGATGGAAACATGGGATTGTGACCCAATGCACCATAACGTAAATGGTTCCGCGGGAATGATGATAATGATGATGATTCAGCTTTATAAAATTGCATCTCAATACTTCTAGATATCAGCCAGTATTTCTCTGTAACATTCATTTTTCATTGTTTGCTGAGAGAGACCCGATCAGTATTAATTTAAAAAAAAAAACACGTGCGTTTTTTTTTTTTTTTTTTTTTTTTTTGATTTTTTTTTGTGGTGGGGGGGTGGTCTGTTTAGCACTACAGATTTTTTTACCATAAAAAAAAAGCTTGGGAATTTAATATAATAAGAATATATGTTATAAAACTTGCACGTGCAGAGAACTTCAAAATATATTCTGAGGCCCCATTTGTGGACATCCGATTATAACTTTACTCTTCCTTTTCATTTTTTTAATTCATGACCTTTGAGAGAGTTTCGTTTAATGTTTTGCGCGTTTTCCATGCTAAAATAAATATAAATCTATATTAGTCCTCACGAGCCGGTGGTAAAAATAGTAACACAAAAGCGAACAAGGTGACGCCAAAAATTACACGTCTAGGAGAAGAAAAAAAATATTTAAACATCAATACTTTAGCGCGCGATTTCGATAAT